CTTTGGACGCCTCCTCCTTTTCCGCCAGGAATCTCTGCCTGGTCACGCTGTCGTTCCAACAGATCGGGATTTCTTCTTCTCAAACTCAATCTTTTTGGAAAAAGCTTGGGTGCGGTGCGCCGGGCCGCGACCGAACTTTCGGCCGGACGCGTCCACGCGCGCAGCGCTCCAGCCTTTCAGTTTGCGACACGTAAGAACAATGGATCCACCCACATGCGAATCAAATCTCGTGACGTATCCCTTTCTCCTTCGTTCTTCTCCGCCCATTTCTTCCACCTCCAGCCGCCACGGCTTTGCTCCTCCACAACCTCCTCACATAGCTCGCGCACGTGTCGCTGAAGGGCACGAGGCGGAGCTCGCCGCAGTCGGCCTCCATCCCAGGCGCCAGCTCCTCGCAGGCCTCGGCCACGGCCGTGAGCAGCTGCTCCATTCCCTGTCGTGCAGCCACACGGCTGCCGCTGTCACACATCTGCTCAGAGCTCGTCGGTGATCCTAGTAGCTGCGTGGCGACCATGGTGGCGCCTTGCACGCCGGATTTTTGGGTATGAGCGAGTGCTGTTTGGGGGAATGCACGGCGATGATGCGGTCCTGGCACCCATGGTCGCCGCTGCCGGGGCGTCATATCCCAGTGAACCTGCAGGCAAGTCATTGCAGAACCTGCTGCAGACCCCCGTGTGCTGCTACCGCTAAAAAAAAGATTCAACCTCTAGATGAAAAAACTTCAACCGCATATACAGAAAGCTGCAAGCATTCAGTGCTATCGAGGAAAGCTACAACCGTCTACAGGAAATGCTACAACCTTCGACGAAAAAAGCTTCAACCGAACCATAGATGAAGCTTTCACCCAGGCGCTGCTCAAAATGAAAAAAAGTTTTAATCGTTTACAGAAAAGCTTCTACCGTAGAGGAAAAAAGCTTCAGCCTTTGAGACAGAAAGCTACAACCAGACTCTGCACAATCAGAGAAGTTGCAACCGTTCGACAGAGAAAGCTTTGAATCGAATGTGCGAAAAAAGTTTCAATCATTTACAGAAAAGCTTCTACCGTAGAGGAAAAAAGCTTCAACCTTTGAGACAGAAAGCTACAACTAGACTCTCCACAATCAGAGAAGTTGCAACCGTTCGACAGAGAAAGCTTTGAATCGAATGTGCAAAAAAAGTTTCAATCGTTTACAGAAAAGCTTCTACC